AAAGCTTCAAGTCATCTTTAGCTTGTTATAAATCCCAAATCTGCCTCAATGAAGTTTTATTTTGACAACAGTACCTAGTTGCGGAATGGTAAAATAAGAGCGGTATTTATATTTTTTTTAAAAATATACCGCCAAGCAGTGGTATTCTTTATATATATATTTAGCAACAACCGCAATACTTGAAATTGTTCGGCGGTATTCAAGGTTAATAGATATGTAAAACAGTCTAATAGTGGTATCTCTTTTGTAAATTTTCTATACCGCCGGCGACAACTTCCGAAGTTTGTATTATTTATCTAACGTCAAAGGTATAAATAAAAATCACTTTTAGCCTAAGAGCTGACGACATATTTAGAGAACATATTTTAGGCAAGCTAGAATAACTTAAAATGTATAATTTATTAACTGGTGAACCCAGAATCCCAAGTCTGGCTGGGGGGTTGGGGGTATTTCGCTACTGCGCAACCCCTAACATTTGCAAAAAAATAAATCCAAAAAACATTCTATAGGCAACTTGAAATTTGTTTATTCTTAAATTTTAGCATCTATTTAACCTAGAAATAAGTATGCCAGACTTTTTTTTCGGGTTTAAAGTGTAACCAGACCATTCCAAATATGTTTAATTATTATACCTAGAAAACATACTTTAGGCATTCTAAAAATTTTACAGCGTGTTTACTAGATGATATTAAAAAATATGTGTTAATTGCCAGACGAATTCAATGGGATTTAATACTTGCCAGACGCGAATAAAGATTTTAAATGAGCGCGATAAGAAATTCATATGAGTATCTATAAGCCCGAGAAAGATAGTTTATTGAGACCCGGTCGGCAGCCGATGCGGCTGACGTAACAGCATTTTGGAGTTGTAAAAACTTATTAATATTGAATAAATAAAAAGAAACATTTTTTAATAAAAATGTATGATTGAAATCCTTTCAATAAGAAGACTTTTTAATTTAAGTATTTTGTATCTGAAAGAATAAGAAGACGAATAATTATTTAAAAATTAGCATAATATAAAAAATATTTTTTTCAAACGTCACAAAAGTATAATTATTATTATACTTTTGTGACATATTATATTATTATTAATTTTTGCGACCTGATTGACAGTATAAAAAAGTCATTTTAACGCCTAAGCATAAAAGTAAAGCACTTCTACTTACTTTTGAATCTATTTAGAAAGATTAACAATGGTACTTTAATAAAATTCCAGAATACTTATTTTCTTAGCACTATACATGGTACTCTTTTGTCGGGACTACGTTTTCTGGTAAAACCACTTGTTTATATTTTAAGCCATGTTGTTGACGCACTTTTAAAAATTCTTTGCATTTTTGCAATCTGCCTTCATCAAAAACAATAACTTTGTCACTAGTAACTTTTCACAAACTACACAACTTAAATGGTTTTTATCCATTGTGATTTGTTAGTAGCGAAATTAGTAATTACTAAAATATCTATTTGTACCACTTAACTCCAACAAAATAATCAAAATAATCTATGAAATAAAAGCCTGCAAATAATTGAAATGAAACCGCAAAAAATTGTTTTTATGAAAATTTTAAGTACTCCAAAATACCATTACGTCAGCCGCATCGGCTGCCGACCGGGTCTCAATAAACTATCTTTCTCGCGCTTATAAAGAATATTTTTTGGTTGTGAAACTAAAGTAATTTGCCTAAAGAATATTTTTTGGATTTATTTTTTTTGCAAATGTTAGGGGTTGCGCAGTAGCGAAATACCCCCAACCCCCCAGCCAGACTTAGGATTCTGGGTTCACCAGTTAATAAACTATACATTTTAAGTTATTCTAGCTTGCCTAAAATATGTTCTCTAAATATGTCGTCAGCTCTTAGGCTATTTTGTTTCCAGTCCTAAAGCATTTACTAAAATACAATAAAGTGTCTCTCATAATTTATAATATTATGATAATAAAGTACCTGTAAAAAAACTCAACTACCAATAAAAGAAGGATATTTTTGTAAAATAAGTATCTACTAGTTATTTAATTGTGATACGTATAATACAAATGATATTTTGCTCCTTTGAAGTTATCTATATTAATTAATTATCTAAATTAATATCGCAATATCCTAAAGCTTCCTCCCAGGTGCAAGGTTTGTCGCAACATTCTCGAGAAGCTTCCTCCCTTTTTTTACGCTTAAGTTTGAACAGAGAGATTGCCCGTTGTTTTCTGAGAAAAGGGAACTTTCTCATTTCATCCTGAGAGTACAGAAAATGGGGATAGTCCAGGAATATGTTCCTATCAAACCCTGAAAAAAAACAAATTAAAAATATAATTATAAAGTTATATTCTCTCAATGAGATGTTATAAAAAATACACTGTGAATCATGATAAAAATTAAATACAGGGTGTCATTGAAATGGTGTAAAAAATGGTGTCGGGGAGTGATAGTACTCCTAAAAATAATAAAAAATGTTCCTATAAGTATAGGGCGGAAAATGCATATTAAGGGAGTTAGGGGCGCAGAAAGGGTGAATTTAAATAACGGTTGTTTTGAAATTGTAGGCTTAAGAAACGAGAGGTTCAGAAGTAACCAAGTAGTTATTAAATAATTAATTGGAAAATCAACATTTCATGATTTTTAAAACATATTATTGCTTTAAAAACGAAATAAACTTTTTTAGTTTTAAAAAAATTTGGTTTACTCAGTGCCGATTAATACTGAAGAACAACTACGGCAACGCATTATTGACTGTTCCAACCAAATTCGGACAACACCAAGAATATTCCACAGGGTACACAGATCGTGGAGAAGAAGATCAGATGTCTACATTGAAATGAATGGTGGTCACTTTGAACATTTACTGTGAATGAATTAAGGAATTCATTATTTTAATAAGGAATTTTGGTAATTGGTTTATTTCGTTTTTGGTTTGGTTTGGTTTGGTATAAAGATGTTTTAGAAATGGCAATAAGATGTTTTAGAAATCATGAAATTTTGATTTTTCAATTAATTATTTGATAACTACTTGGTTACTTTTTGAACCGCCAGAACTTTCATAAATTTATGTTGATTAACCAGTTAGCAACCCCTCAGAGCGAACTCTTTGTCTTCAATTTTCTCGAAAACCATCGCTCTGGGCGATGTGCATCAAGAGTATTTTTTTGTAGGAAAAAGTATGTGGTTTTCAAAAAATAAACCCACGTTGCAAAAAAAATAACCTCAAAAAAGTTATTCACGAAACAACCCACTACCCTTGCAAAAACTACCCTCGTTATTCACCCTGTATAATAAGCCAAATACCAAAGTATATAAAAAATTGAGTTTATGAAATAAAGTTGAGAGATGTATACACAGTTTGCTACAAAAAAATGATGAAAATAGGGCTAGAGTATCAACAAACACTTATAATTCATATTTACAAAAATGTTCGGCACGTATGAACTCAATATGACATTAAAAATTGATTTATTTTAAATTATTTTTGGCAACGATATCAATTTGACATTAAAAAAATGTAATTTGAAGGTTGCATGTTTGTTATTCTAATCAGGACCGGATTGTTTTTTTAATTAATTTAGTATTGAAATTAAATAACTTGCTTTAATTTATCTTTAAAAACTTTCGAATAATTTTTTCTGTAAAATAAAAGAGGAAAAACTTATTCATCGTTCTTAAAATTTACATGGAGATTTCCTATGTTGAGGTCGGCGATGCAACAAACTGTATAGGAAAAAGTTACTTATTTTTAACAATCATCTCGTCATATGTGTAACGGGTGCGTCTCAAAAATGGCACACTTCTATAACTTTTTTATTTTTTCAGATAAAAAAACGACATTTGGTATGCTGGTAATCAATCCTAATATATATTATGGTATAAATTGACGTATTCAATTGTTAGGTTACTTCCTGTTTCATAGGAAACGACTACAACCTTTGATTCTCGTTTTTTTATCTGAACAACCAAAATCTCGTTTTTTATCTCTCGTTTTTCTTTTATGTGAAAAAATAAAAGTTATAAGGGTGAGCCACTTTTTTTAAACACACTCGGTTTTGTAAATTAAAATTTACACGATACAAGATAATACGACCGACGGTATAACTAATCAGATTAATTAATATGCTTAAGGATGTATAATTATAATTATAAAAGATATAGCTTACAATTCTTTTTGCTTTTGGGTGGCGCCGAGGGTGGCGCATATAATCCCATACAGACATCATTGAGGAAGTCAGGGAGATTATCTCCGCAATGTTTGTGTGCTTCGGTGCTCACTCTCTCATTGGAATGTCTGTAACTCTTGCACTGAATAAAATGGATGAAGAACAGGCAGGCTAGGACACAAATAGTTTTCAAATACATCTGCGTTCGGAAAATAACTAGTAGACAATGCGTAGAATAATGAAGGAGGGTTAATTTTATACCTATTTGTGAATGTCTCATTTGAATTTATGATAGACTGTCTAGGTATGGAAAATAGTTAGAAAATAAACACATTGACGGTGATTTAAGCAGACAGGCATATAGGAGAGCGCACTTGAAGATAATAATAGAGCTAAGGGATATTTCAAGACATAGGAGGGTTATTTTAAAAAAATAATTAATCTGAAAGCCACCCGAATTCATTTTTTTTCTAAATTAGGTAGATCGGTGATTTAGAGAATGTAATAAGGTGCATACGAGTATACACCGATCGTGCAAAATGCTTATAAACATTTACCAACGTTTGGAAGCATTTTTGCCAATGCTTTTTTGCGCGCTTTCAGGCTCCAATTGGACTTCTTTGTTCTAGTCCCTAACGATATGCTGGAGACTATTAAAATTTGATGAATAATTTGGCTCAATTACGTTATAGCAGAGCTAAAAATTGCTTAATTTATTTTTAATAAAAATAATTGTATAGATTTTAGTAATCTAAAATTAAACAAATAGAAAATGGTTCAGATTTTCAAGTCATCTTCATAATATGTAAAATTAGGTATATGATGAATTTCTATCGTCATTTCTAAGTATTTTGATTTTAAGGACACAGTTTCTGAACAACCATACTATTATCCGTAAACTAAGTTTAAAAGATGGCGATAGAAGCAATACTGCTGAAGACTTTTTGGAGAAGATTGTGGAAGAATTTCCTATTGAAGAATTTCTCACTGTACCACTGGAAAGTGTGGACGACGATACTTGGTAAGTGATATTAATTTATTTTTTTAGCATTTGCCTTTGCTAATAATTTAGAACCAACACCATTCAAATCTATCTCGAAAAATTAAATAGATTCAAGGAGATCTTATAAATACAAATAGTGTAAGACATTTATAGTTTTCTATACACATGTTTTAATATACATGTAGTGTCCTAAGATAAAACATTTTTAAAACGTTTTAATTTTTCTTTTAAATGGCATCTCTATTTTTATATTATACACTGCCCGGCATGAAAATCGGTTAACTTAAAATTGTCATGTACTTAAAAGTTTAATATATTTTGTTTTAGTATGTTAATTTTGGTGATTCTTTAAGCAATCTGTAGCTTTTTATCCATTTTTTATCCATTTAGCTGTAAACATACATTTTAAACACAATGTAGAATATTTTAACAATGTAAGGAATTTAGAGACTACTTTATCATCAAAGCCCATCTTTAGTAAATAGTTTGTTTTTTGATTCATCCTGATACCTTTTTTTGTTTGTTGGAGATATTCCCTGTTGAAGAAGTAGTAACAGTTCGCAGTAACGATTACAACATAACCATTAAAAGCAAACCTTTGCTTAGGTCTCAATCAACACCATACCTATGATATAGCGTGTATTGCTTTTTTATTAGACACTATCATTGAAAAATCAAATTATTGTTGTTTATTGGTAGTTACTGGCAGTACTTGGCAGTACTACTTGGCAGAGATTGATTTAAATCAAGAAATTGAATCGGTTATTACTATAGACCAAAAACTTCTGGACCTCTCGCTGGACCTAAAACCATCTCTACTAAAGTAACCGTCAACAAATAATAATAATAATAATACGAGTTTTCAACTACAGAAATATTACAAAAACAGTAAACATTATTTGATCGAGATGTTGATTAGAATCAAAAGCTAAGCCGTAAGAGATTCTTTCCCAGTGTAGACAACAAGCCTAACTTGTTTAGAGGTCGACATGTATTCACCGTTAAATTGATATTTTTTCAAAAAGTCGTAAACACTGATTAGGATAGGAAACCCTTTTCGTGAGAAAAACTGTAATAACTTTTTGTTAGACTTGAATCCCACCGCTGCCACCAATTATATGTAATATTCTCTAATAATAGCGTGACCTTTTCTATATAAATTTTTAAAATTAATTTTATAAATAATTTTTTTTATTAAATAAACTGTAATTTAAGGAAAAAATAAAATAATAATTGTTTATATTATTATTTTTAAATGTTTGTAGTTTTTAATTTCAGTTATACATGTATTAATTTTTTTATTAAATTAGTTTTCTGATAGAATTAGTTACTTTATAAATAAACTTTTTTTCTATATCATTATTTACTACTTTTAATTTAGTGATCATTATTTTTAAAGTTATAATTTTGCTCTTTAATTCTTAATATTGTTTAAATTTACTTCTTCTATATTTTTCCATACGCATAATTTCGTAGAATGTAATAAGTAGATGTTGTGTAAAATAGTAGTAGAACGGTAGTAGTAATAGTAAGTCCTAGTAGAGGTTGATTACTAATTTTACAGGGGTATCCCCGACGATAGACTTAGTTTGATATAATTTATTTAAGTTCTTATCATGAAGTTTTATTCTTAACAATCTATTAGTACGCACCGATGACTCGATGCTCTCATTTTCAAGTACTACCGCTCTAATAAAATATCAAATAATATTATATATTTTAATAATCGACGTCAAAGTCACGCTATTATCAGAGAATAATTTAGTAAAGGTAAACCGTTAAGACATGCCTTTAATGCTAAAATTGCCGTATGTCGTCACTGCCACTTTCAAAAAAGAGTATCTCCAATAAAAAAAACATTTTGAGATTAATCAAAAATCAAACTGCCGCGAAAAGAATCTTGATGATAAAGTATTCTACAGAGTGTTTTAAAGTTTCGCGCCAATATCAACGATTGCATTCCCTCGTGTAATACGAGTAGATAGATTTAAAATGCAATGTTTTGTGCCGGTCAGTGTAAAATATTTAAAATCAGCGATAACCCTTTATAGTGATATATTAGAAGTTAGGGTTTGTTTTGGCCTCGGTTATATAATCCCCGAATCAATACCCTTTCCTAAACTAGTTTATTTTGTCTACGTAGGCCATAATTTATCAGGAAAATACATTGTTTTAATTTGAACTGTTTAATTTGATCCATATGTTAAACAGAAAACAGATAGTTAATTATAAACTTAAACGAAGTCTTTCTTAGTTATATTTATTTACTGCTTTGATGAAATATTGTCTCTGTAGTTACAGTCAACTAGTCTAGGAAACATAACAAAAATTGATTCTGTAACGTTATTCAGAATAAATGTGTTCATTTTAAAGGTTTTAAAATCATCTAAATAATTTTTTCTAAATATTTTTACGAATATTTGCTGCTTTGAGCGAATCAAGCTTCTTACTCTCTATGTTCAAAAATGTTAAATTAAGATGTAGAACTTAAAATATGTATTTTATTTAAATTATGATTATTAGTAAAGTTAAACGTGACGCTGATTACATTGCTGAAGAACGCGCATTGGAAGAAACCTTAGAAGCCTATGAAAATGAAGAAAAGTTGGCTAAAGAGAAGCTTAATGAATTAATCAATAAACAAATCGAAGATCTTAGTATGCTAAATTCTTGGTTTGAGGGTAAATATATTCCTTCCTCCTACAAAATATTATTTTTTTGTACAGGCTGTTTCAAAAAACATGTGCCATCTTTCGGGGGGAGATTCCTCACGTAAAAATAAGATTTATGTATCATATCAACATAGGTCCGATTCGTCTTTGTTTCATAGGTACAGGAGGTTTTTCTTCTTTTATTATAATTCTCTTCCTTTATTTAATGCTAAAAAAGTGTCGACAGTTTTACCAGGGACATGCGTGTGGGTTATCACTGGAATATCTTTCTAAAAAACATATACGCCACTGATTTTTTCCTCTTATTAGCAAAATTGTGTTGGACATTTAATACCGATTAAAAATTTTACCTTCATATTTTGTCCATTTCGATCTCCTCGATGAGATAAACGCAATTTTATTATTCACAATTTGATAAAATTAAAATAAAAATAAAATTAATAAAACACGAGATATGGCACATGTTTTTTGAAACATCCTGTATACGTATTATAATAACTATATATATATAAATAGGTATAATATGGAATATTATAACTAATTTAAGAGACATTTTGTTACAAAGGAATAATATTTGTACTGTATAGCAATTATAAAATATATCAGTTTAAACTAACTAAAAAATATATATTTAAAACTATATTTTTTTTTAATTGTTATTTTAATAAAGATTAGTAACTGACTTTTGAAATATTTTATATGCTCGTTCTGAATAATTTTGCCTACCTATTTCTATTTTGGATTGATTAAGAGTATTTTACACATTTTTTTAAATATTGTTTTAGAAATCAGAGGAGATTCTAGCTTTATGATTCAAGAGGCTTTAAACGAACAACACCAATATTTAAAGAAGGTTGAGCAGGAAATTCAAAAAGACAAAAGTGCGAAAAAAGGCGGCGACAAGAAAAATAAAAAGAAGAAATAAATCACTAAATAATATGACTATTATTTATAGTATATATATAAAACTGTTATAAAATATATATATTGGAAACATTGATTAGATATTTTGTTTCAAAAGATTTTCATTTAATATTCTAATAATAAGCAAAGTATATTGATGCAAAATAATGTCTATCCCAGAGAATAGGTACATTAAAGAAATGCTAACTTCATGTTAAAAAATGGAAACAGACGCCACCTGGTGTCGCCTGGCCGTACTAGCTAAATTGAGGGGAATTGGAGGGGCGGGGCTTAAAAGAGGGGAAATTTTAAAAAAAAAAATATTTTTATAAGTATCACTGACTTATTGTTTAAAGTTAATAAACATATTTTTTATTACTTTAATATAATTTAATGTATTAAAAAATATGTCTATTAACTTTACACAGCAAATCAATGATATTATTAAAGGCTTATTATTTTCAGAGAAAATTCATAGTAAATAAATTACACATTAGTAAACAATATCATTTATTTTTTAGAGCTGCGATTTATATTACAATAATATTGAAATATATATATTTTTTTAACAATGAAAAAGAATATCCCGGAACCTGAAAAAGAAAGATGATCAATTGAAGCGTGGAAATTCAAAAGCGTCTAAGTGCCAAATTGATCGAATTTAAGATTTCATTAATTTTCTAATCTATATGCCAAGGCCAATAACGTACAAAACAGTCTAAGTGCCATACTGCTATTTTAACGTTAAATACTCGGCTAAAATATGGCGCTACGGCCAAGTTGAGTAGGCAATTATAGGAAAAAACCGTCTAAGTGCCAATTCGTTACACATTGCTGTAATGAGTTTTTTTTCTAAAAAGTTGATCATATGGAGTGACAATTGCATTGGTTAAAATAAAAATAAAATAATGCTCTTGTTTTTAACATATTTGGTGGCTATGGGAGTATATGAGCAAGTTGAACAAAAAATCTTAGTTTCTGGTCACACATACCTCCCTTGTGATCGTGACTTCGCTCAAATCGAAAAGTGAAAAAGAGTAAAAAAAGCTTTCACACCTGATAATATAAAAGATATGATAAAGAATGCATGTCACAAGAATCCTTTTAAAGCTTTTACGATGCAATCTGAGGACTGTAAAGACATTCAGAAACTTGCCGACAAAATGCTGAACACAACGAAGTTAAAAATATCTCAGGTTTGGTTTGGTTTGGTTTGACCAATTTAATAATTGATTGAAACAATTTTTAATTAACCCGGATTATGGTTAATAAGGAAAATCCAAAGATAGTGAAAATTAAGAAATTTTTCAGTGAGCTGGAAGCATGGACTGAGTGTAATGTTTTCAAGCAGGGAAAAAGGATACAGGATATTTTAGGAAATCTCCCTCTTCTAGAATGCAAGAATCGAATCTCTACTGAAAAAATTAAAAATGTTGAAGATATGCTAGAATATACCTTTAAAATATTTAAGTTATTGGGAAACTTTGATTGTTGATACCAAGAAATCAAAATAAGTAGCAACTTAATCTACGTTCGTGTTCAGTTTTATTTTTTTGGATGTATGTTTAGTTGGAATATAGATGCTTTTGAATCTATGTTAATTTTGAACTTAGACTGTATCTTTGTTTTATGAATTTGGTAATTTTTTGTAACAAAACTTTTCTGCTTTTTAAAGTTTTTTAAAATGTTTTATGCTTCATACACTTAATATTGATTATTAAAGTACTTTTCACCGCAATATACTTGTTTTTTTTATTTATTATAAAAAAACCTTAATAACTCAAAAATGACTTTTTGGCACTTAGACGCTTTTGAATTACCACGCTTCAATTAATGACTTAAATTAGTTCAAAATACATTTTGCAAATAACTAGTGAATTGGAAAGATAAACATACTATTAAAAAGACATTTTAGTAGTATATTATCATCTATTTACTGATAATACATAAGTATATAATAGGTAAATAACATGCATAAGGCACTATGATACAACTACCTGTATCATGATAACACACTAACATCACAAAAAATATATGCTAATTTAAATTTCTTTAATGGTCTAATGAAACACTATCTAGCCTCAATGCATGCCATTCCAAAGGCAAAAAAAACTGTTATACCAAATAAATATAAGCTGAATAAAACATAAACCAAGCCAATGTGCATAAACAACCAAAAAATGCATCAAAAAATACTTTTATCAGATCATGCCCTTGGATATATTATGTATTTTATATATCGCACATCCCGTTCAAAAGTTTACTAACTCAAAATAGAGAATATAGAGAACATTGTCAGGAGAAGTAAAAGAAAATTTAAGTTAACGCAATATGCTCCTTTTTGCATATTAATGGCCAAATAATGTAATGTTGATTTAATAAAAATTTAACTGGCATCCTTCTGAGGTATAAATCAGAAAAAAAGGACATTGTTTTTGTAATAATTGTTTGTTTTGTAAACATTTTTTGAAGACAATACAGTTTTGAACGGGCTGTGCGATATAAACAAGGATCTTACTATTATTTGAGGTTAGAAAGTATTTAAATAATATAAAACATAATGAAAATCATTTTTCATCATAAATTATAGAGGTACTTACGTATTTTGATATTATTATCAGGAAATAATACGTTTAGTTAAACAGGTACGCTGCCCGGCAAGTTCTATCGGCGGGGCTTTGCAAAAGTTGAAATCTAAAAATACAAAAATACGTTTACATCTTAGTTGTATTTACGAATAAAGTATTTGTGTGTAATTTCTGATTTACCAGTTAACTGAATAATCGCATTAAATACATCCAAATGGTAATTTAATATTGTAAAAAAGCAAAATTGTTTTAAATCACTTGCCAGGACAGCCCGGCCAGCTTCTTTCTTGGCAAAATGGCCGCGGTATCATGATTTAAGCAGTGTGAGTGACAAAGAAAGCCAATGCCTGGCAGATGTTGCTTTCTTTGTCGTTGGTCCTGGCACGTTTAAATTTGACTGTTGCCTGTTTTCCCATACAAGTGACACCCCCGTGGTCTATCCTAAGATTAGGGAAGATTCCTACAGACGACGTTTAAAAATTGACAGAATGCCATTTACCTGTAAATTAAAATGACAGAAACACCTGTCACTGACATGGATCTTCTCGATATTATTAGTCCACCCTAGCTAGGTATATTCTTTGAATCCACCGCTTTGAGTAAAAAGATTAAGGAAGGACTATAATTCTATCCATGTATTCATGCATGGCCGACGGAGATAGGACCCTAGGGTGGGGATATTTGACAGTTCTATTTGACAATTCGTTTGGCATATTTGAATTTGATTTGAAATTTTGTGGATTTGTCAGTATTTAGCATGTTTTATGTTATTTGTAATTTATTCTACTGCTGAAAGTTGTTTAAAGATAGTAAATATAGAAGGAAATTTTGTAGTAGAATTTAGATTAACAGTGACACTACTGCTATTTATCGAAAAAGACTGTAAAATAGTTGATTGTGTAGCGTGCGATAGATCTCGTTAAAAAATCGAGGGAAATAATGGAATAACTTTTCGCTAGTAAGTGACAAGTGATAATATACGTACGTGTAGTAAACCGATCATTTATGACATTCACTTAAAACTAACTAATTATATATTTTTTCTTGCATTTTTGCTTTTATTTACTACTTGTCAAAGATTAGATGTCAAAGAATTTAGATACGTCAATTAGAAACACAATTAAAATTAATAGAATATCCTAGCAACAGCTTGCGTTAGTCATATATATTGTATCCATAGTTGTATCCATAGAGAAAAACTAATATTTAGCTTTCAAAACGATCAACTTTTGATTTCTAATCACAATTTTAATGGAAAAATTAAAAATTAAGCTTCATTCAGAATCTCAAAATTAGTGGTTTCAATTAGCGTAGAAGTTTGTTCCTCTAACATCAATGTAAGCATTCACAACGTCAAAATTAGTGGTAGTAATCTTCAATTAGTGGAAAAAATTAACAAACTTTTAACTTTTCCACTAATTATACTTCAAAATTTGCGAGAGAAATGTCATTTTGGCCTTTGATTAGCTTCCGTCAAGAGGAATTGTGGTGAGAAATAAAAACGCATAAAAAAGTTGATCGTTTTATAAGATAAATAAAAATCCTTTTCTATGGATACAATTGTCTACCGCAAGCTGTTGCTAGAATATTCTATTAATTTGAATTGTGTTCTTTAAGACATTGTGAATGATCGTAAACTAAAAAGTATAAAGTGTAATTGAAACCACTAATTTATTCCACTAATTGCAAGGTTCTCAATGCTTACACTGAAATTAAAGGAACAAACTTCTATGCTAATTGAAATCACTTATTTATTTCACTAAGTGCCAGGTTCTGAATGAAGCTTATTATCCTATAATAAGTGAGAAATGCCAAAGGCTTAGATATTTTTAGTACAAACTTTTAAGTTTTTATATAAATGATGTTGGAACAGGGTTACTGAAACTCCCGGTATAGTACATAAAGTTGAAATTCCTTTATCATACTGCCTGAGTCGTAAACAACAATGTTTCGTATATTCCGTTTCGTCTCGGCCGTCTCACCCTGCACGTCATTATTCGTTTTTCCGTTTCCAGACATGATTGCCACCCCAAACCCCCTATTTTCCTACCACCGTTCCTGTAGTTAACCCCCTCCCCCACCTTGTCCTTTGAGTCGTGCTTGGGTGGCTGGAAAGGCCGCGGTTATGTCCCAAGGAATGTTGCCAGAGTGTGAGGTTAATCTTGGATGCAAAAATTAATGAAGAATACTATACCGTGTGGTGCAGAGGTAAACAGGACAATAGAAATCCCATGTAAATTCTAAAAAGGCCAAATATTATCTCCCAAACGATTTTACGCAAAAGTTGTATAAGACATTTTTGAATAGACCTTAAAGTTAGCACTTCCCAATAGAATTTTGTTTTATTCGGAATCGGCATTTAAATGTTATTTGCAAAAATATACCTTCAAATTAGTAAACTTTATAATACGGTCCAGAGAAAGCTACAATTAAAATACAATCAAAAGCACAA